TCCACGTAAGTCAATATATTGGGATGTAACAGACCAATATGTCGGGGGCTGTAGCTCCCTACACCAGCCTTTTTTTTGCATCCCAATATATTGAGATGATATCGGGATGAACTAGATACCATGCCCAATATATCTAGATAATCCAGTAAAAGTGACACCTATACCTAGATATTTCATAGTAGGATTGCCTAATACAACGATAAAATATCTAGATATTTTCATGTGGGATTTTCTGCTTGGGTAAACATTTCACTGTCAACCTCTGTAAGATAAAATATTTTCTTCTGAATTCGGAATACCAATTGTGATAGACACTTTATTGTAAAACTTTATAAAGATTACAAATTTTGAGCAGAATTCAAATTGTGATTTTATTAGAATTCCAATTCGCATTCGAAGTGTAGTACACACCTTACTGTGAAAGTTTAGAAAACATTTCCATCAGAATTCAACGTGGGCCTTTATTAGAATTCGAATTCGAACTAGGATACACAGATTACTGTAAAACTCTCTCGATAAAAGAGAGTTATTCATCAGAATTCAAATTGGCATTTTTGTTAGAATTGGTGCAGGAAAACGAATTGTGACAGACAGTTTACTGTTAAACTTTATAAAAAATAGAATTTTTCAGAATTTGTATTCGAATTCAAATTGCAATAGATACTTTAGTGTAAAAGTCAGAAAAGAACGAATTTAAAAAAATATTCATCAATTTGAATAACGACAGACAATTTACGGGAAAACTTTCTAAAAGCAAAAAAGTTTATTCGGAATTGGAAGTGGGATTTTATCAGAAGTTGAATTCGAATTGCGATACACACTTAAGTGTAATAGTCAGAAAAAAAGAATTTAAATCAGAATGCGTATTCGAATAGCGGTAGACACTTTATTGTAAAACTTTCTAAAAAACAACTTCCATCAGAATTCGAATTTTGAGTCTCTTGTGTTAAAGGGCTCTTAACTAATCATCAACGAAATAAAAAAGAAATGCAAAAAAACTGATTTACTTTTGTTATTTGTGTTCTTTTTGTAGATTGAAGGAAGACACATATTTAAGAATGAATACTTTCACTACAGAAGATTGAAAACTTTTAGAGTGGAATTAAACATTGTGTTTGAATGTATGGTTGCTCATGCAGTTTCAACAGCTCTGGTACTGTTTACATAGTACTGTAGAGCATGCTACTGTAGTGATATAGTAGAAGAAAATGAAAATATAAAGTAGAAAATAAAGTTTAAGATTTTCTTTCAAATTCCCAAATCTGTTAATGAAGATTCTGATTATTGTGTATCAAATTAATCATTTCAGAATTCTTGAAATATCTTGACAAGATCTGGTCAAGATTTATCACGACAGATTCAGACAAAAAACTCGTGCGCTTTCGGTACAGAATCTTGAACAATTTCGATAAATCTGCACAAATTCTTGAAAGAGCTGGAACGAAACTTACGCCATCTTTAAAGATTTATCAAGATCTTTAGCATTCAAGATCTTTTTCTCCCTGGATTGTATACGTTTGCCAGAAAAATAAGACTAAATTTATCATTAATCAGGTGCAGTCGTCATCAGCGTGACTCATACAAGTACGAAGAGTTATTAAAACAAACCAAATGCATTAGTCTAACTTTTTCAGCATTTAATAGAAAGTTAGGAAACTTTATATAAGTGGTTACCATGACTTTGGTATTACATACTTTTGTGAAATTCCTCTCAGTCGTAACAGAAATTGTATTTATTTCTTCTGTGCATTCTTATCTTGAGATTTTAAAGTCAAAGTAAATGTTATTGCTGGTTATTATAGCAGTGAAAGAATCTCTCTTAGGTTCAATATACATAACGCACACTATTTTTCTGCCTCTCTTGGTAAAGTGATAATAGAACAGAACTAATTTATCTTCAAATTTTGAAAATTTTGATTGAAGCAGCTGCATTATATAGTACAATTTTTATTCCAAAAGTAAGCATCAGCGACTATGAGCGTGCATTTATTAATGCAGCAACGGAAATAGTGAGTTGAAATTTGTTTGGGATTAGTTTGGTCAGAAGTAGTCGAAAGGGTAGTAGTTTAGTGAGAAGAACTCCTTTCTTTAAAAATCTAAGGCTTTGTTAGTGAGACTACAATCAGATCGCAGTGAAATGATGCGTTTAACGCGTTTTGGATTAATTTGGTCAGGAGTCGTACAAACTGGAGTAGTCAAAAGTGCAGCAGCTATTAAACAGCCGTGTATAAGTTGTGGTGCTGTTTTTGTTGTCAGTACCCAAGCAAATATCACCTATAGAAAAAATCTAGATACATTTCGTCTATAACCGGGCGATACACGACTAGTTGCCATCTAGATTACTAGTTGGAAAAGGAACTTTTAACTAGATGCGCCTACACGTGCATCTAGCAATAATTAAATCGATCAATTATCGGACAATGAATCGATAGTTGCAACTAGAAAAAATTTTGTAATCACCCAATTACAACTCTCTAAAAAAAATCGTATTCTGAAAAACCGAGAAATGGTATCCCGGGACCGGGAAACAAAAACTGGTTCTTATTAATAACAAATGTAGATACCCGTTTTTTGACTACCCGACAGTATGACTGATACCTAAACTAGAATACCCGTATCGTTACTGTTATTTTTGCCAAAATCTGGACTTCGGTGGATCCGCTCTGCGAAGGATTTTAATATCGCTAATATTGGTTGCGTGATCATTTTCAGTTTTTCAGTATAATCATTTATCAGCTGTTGTTTCATTTCTGTCTTAACATTTGACTGAGACAACGCTGTTGATACTACCATTTCAAATAGTGATGTAATAGCTGGTAAAAAATCCATAAATACTTTTCCTAATTCGTTCATTTTATTCTCAGTTTTTTCGTTTAACTTTTTCATTTCACTAAAAATACAGCTAGGTACAACATCCGAGTTCTGTTGATTATCTTTATATTTGTTTTTCACCCAAGGTGCTGGTGCTGTTGCTGTATTATTTCATTTAAGTAAGAAAATTCGTTAATATTTCTGAGAGAGACGGAAGTTCGGTTGTCAACCGATATATTTCAACATTGCAGAAACATTTAAATCATCTACAAAATCAATAAGTATTTCATCAATATATATCGTCTTTATCAACATTATGTAATTCATCATTCTTATCGCTTGTCTACTCACAACAAAAAATGGATCATTGTAGTTTAGTTCGAAAGAAAAATGACGCTCGTCTTATTGACTCAATAATTCGTCTTTTATCTATTTAAGGCGCTTCAAATTCGAACGTCGAGCACTATTTTATTTTCACTTCGAATATGTATCATTCGATAGAGAATTTCATGCTGATTAAGAATATGTTATTTCGAAATCTTTTCGTGCGCGTTATCACCGAGAAAAACTCAAAGTACTCAAAGACGAACTGTCTTTTCGAAAATCCGCTAACTTTTAAGAATAGTGAAACTCCGTTCCAAATGCATTTGAAGCTTCACAAAGATATTTTTCTTGATCAGCGTCTAAAACTGCATCTAGAAAAGCATATTTGAAGATTCCAAATGAAACAATAACTTCTGGGCACGTCGCTTTCAATCTACATTTTTTGTTTGATGGTAGTCATATTGCAGGCCACGTGCAGCCTTTTAACTTAGAGGTAGAGACAAATTTTATGAGTCACTCGCTTCGCCCTTCAGTTTAGAACGAAAGTATGAAGCGCCTTTTTTTGAAATTTGTTTCGTTTCCGAGAAAGTAGATTTTTTCGGAATCAGGGACGAAAAAATTGAAATTCTGCTCGTAATTCTCTATTTTCTCCACCACAACTCGCTTTTTATGCAATAAAAATATCATATTCGGAGTCAGCGTCGAAGCCTGAGTTGAATAATATTTTAGTGTGTCAGCCACAGATATTTTGGTCTCAGAACTGTTTTCCTAAACTTACTTTGAAGTCTGATGCAGTTCGTCGGAGTCTCATTTTTCGCTTACTGATCCTGTCTGCCATTTCGCATTTTATTATTTTTCTTCCTATGACATGTGGTAATCGCTAAGCTTTTATCCTTTCTCGATAACTGCGCTGTCGTATGATATCCAATTTTATAACGTAAAAACTGATTAGAATTGGAATCACTTACATATAGCTCTCTTAGCACACCATGTTATTCGTCCCTTTTAAACTTACTAGAGAAAACTGATAAGTGTAATTGATGCTGGTTTCTCATTGCTTTATTTATTATTGTTCATGTCATCTTCAATGAGTTTTCATGCTGTAAGTGGCATAATGACTAAGTATACATCAGCAGACTGCCAGGCACACATCTTAATCCAATTTAAACAAGTTAATGTAAACGTACACTCGCGGCATGGGTTTCATTAAGTCTCACCTTAGTCCTTCACGTTTCAATAGAGGAACTTCATATCCCAGGTCCGTCTGGCAAGCGTTTTAATAATGAAACAGAATATCATACATATAATAATATGTTTTTTCTGAATTCAAATATTTTTCTGGAGAGAACAAACATTTAAAATAAAAAAGAAAGCGAGAAGCCTTACCGTCAACAGATCCTCTAAAATTTATTTCATTCATAACGACAAAGAGAATTGTGCATAAATGGCAGGTCGACTGGCCGTCATCTACAGGAATTCAAATCAATATCCTCAAAGTAGTGGAATTCGATATCCACCTGTGCAGTATGCTCCTCCTCAAACACAACCTTTCTCTCAGCAGCTACCAAAGCCACCAACGCCACCGGCTGAACTTACAGCGCCAACTGCTCCTGCTCCTGCTACAGAAGCATGGGCCCCACCACCGAACGAAGAGCGCTTTGTTGAAACAATCTGGCAGGAGCCCCAAAACATGATCAGGTATGGATACTTCCACAATGTATGTGTTTAAAGCTCACATTATATAGCATTTTAGTGATAGCAGTGGCTTTTGTTCACAGTCGTGCAAAAATTGTCTATTTGGCTTACTATGTGGTTTATTACTGTGTGGCATTGGACTGGCT